TGTAAGCTTGAAATCCTACATTAAAGCCAGACAATCTAAAAGGTACTGTATATTAAGTAATAAACTCAAAACACATTGCCAAGAGTGGCTAAAGCCCATAGGTTTTCACACCTCGTCTAAGATTTGTTTTTTTCACCTCCACATACTCCTTCTTACCCAGCCAAAAAACCAGAAGTGTCTGCTGCATAGGTCCCTCTCCCACATGTTTTACTTTATCAAGAGATTCTCTTATCATGAAGCTGATTCTCTTTAGGCCTGCCACTGCTCCTGTCACCTGCCTCTAGATTGAGTTCAAACACAGAATCATAGAACTGGAAGGGACCTCAAGAGGTCATCTAGTCCAATCCCCTGCACTCATGGCAGGACTAAGTATTACCTAGACCATTCCTGACAGGTGTTTGTCTAACCTGCTCTTAAAAATCTCCAATGATGGAGATTCCACAACCTTCCTAGCAATTTATTCCAGGGCTTAACCACCCTGACAGTTAGGAAGTTTTTCCTAATGTCCAACCTAAACTGCCCCTGCTGCAATTTAAGCCCATTACTTCTTGTCCTAGCCATAGAGGTTAAAGAGAACAATTTTTCTTCCTCCTCCTTCCAACAACCTTTTATGTACTTGAAAACTGTTATCATGTCCTTCCCTCAGTCTTCTCTTCTCCAGACGAACCAAACCCAAATTTTTCAATCTTCACTCACAGGTCATTTAATCATTTTGATTGCTCTTCTCTGGACTTTCTCCAATTTGTCCACATCTTTCCTGAAATCTGGCACCCAGAACTGGACACAATGCTCCAGTTGAGGCCTATTCAGCGTGGAGTAGAGCGGAAGAATTACTTTTCGTGTCTTGCGTACAAAACCCCTGCTAATACATTCCAGAATGTTTGCTTTTTTTTGCAACATTGTTACACTGTTCATTCATATTTAACTTGTGATCTGCTATGACCCCCCCAGATCCCTTTCCGCAGTACTGCTTCCTAGGCAATCATTTCCTATTTTGTATGTGTGCAACTGATTGTTCCTTCCTAAGTGTAATACTTTGCTTTTGTCCTTATTGAATTTTGTCCTATTTACTTCAGACCATTTCTCCAGTTTGTCCAGGTTATTTTCAATTTTAATCCTATCCTCCAAAGCACTTGCAACCCCTCCCAGTTTGGTATCATCTGCAAACTTTATAAATCTATTTTCTATGCCATTATCTAAATCATTTACATCTTTGACTCTAATGCTTTCCTTGTGTCTGATAGCAGGGAAGCACTGTGGATTAGAGAGAGCCAAGGGACAGCTGGAACAAAGTAGGAGGCTGATCCCTGGACTTAGGAGAAACTGAACAGGAAGTAGGGAGAAGAACTCACAAAAAAGAGATGGAAAAGGAAATGAAAGAGTAGCTGAGAAGGAGAAAGTAATAGGGATCCTATTACATCCTAGCAGGTGTCTTTGGATATGGGATATGAGGTGCAAGTAATGTGCAGATAATTAGGGGGATGGTACCTGAAGCTGGCTGGGTGGGCAAACTTATCTAAGACACTATTCTTATCCAAAGGAAGCTCAACCTTAAAGAAGGTCCACTGTACTTCAAAGCCCTCTGAGGAGCTTATGATCAGGAAGATGTGAATTTTTATTGAATCAGTTCATCAATCCCTGCTCATATGAAGCTCTGTGTCTTCTCAGTTTAATTCAGATTAGAAGAACGTCTTCAATAAAATTTTAAGAATTTTCACAAACTAAAAGGAAAAACAAATCATGGAATGTTAGTGGAAGCAAGGCAGTGCCAAAAAATCTACAGTGATCATGGAACTGCTTGGGAAAAGTAAAATCACATTTGCATTGTTTTTCAAAACTGGAAATAACTATAGGGGGTTTTGTTTGTTCTCAGGAAAATGTAAAGGTAACTTACTCAGGCAATAATTTGTTACTTTGCTCTTTCTCTAAGAAGACCGGATGGCTCAGTAGAATGACACTAGGATATAGCACCTTTCACTTAATGAGTCAGCAGTTTGAGACTAGCTTGAATTGATATCGACTGAAGTGTTACCATCCGTTCAGTTCCCCAAGTAAAACTGGTTGAGGGTCTTAGTCCACACTTCCTAGTCTACATTATAAAATTCAATTGCACTAATTAATACCCTTGTCTCAACAAAAGAGAGACCACAGATTGGGTGGACATAGAGAAAGATTTTAAAAGACAATCTCTGTAGATTAGGGTTGAGGCACATTAGGGGCGTAATGAGTGGAAAGCCTGACTTCACTACTGCTGCTCATGTTTAAATGCTGATTTTATAACTGCTCAATGCTAAATGCCTACTCTTCTTTGCTAGAATGTTAAGTAAAGAACTGGGCAGAAACACAAAACAGTATGAAGCTGTAGGAGAGGCAGCTGTTGATATCTGACAGAAGCGATACAAGAATGAAAAATAACCCAGGGCACTGGCAGTAACTGGCTAAGGTAACGTGTTCTAGGTTCTTTTACTGATGTAAAGAACATACAAATATGAAACAGCAAGGCTGTTAAATTACATTCAATCTTATACTTCAACGTATCATCTCTGCAAAATGCTAAAGAAATGTTGGCGACGTAATGCCTGGACTGTGTACTTTAATACACATTGTACCAACAAATGTGAATTGCTATAGTGTTAGCTATTTATAAAAAAGCAGTGTTGCCAGCACAGTTGTTTCTGAGAAGCTATAACATTTCCTTATACTTAGAATAGGAAATAATTGTGGAATCTATTAGCAAATGTTGACTTTTTTATGATGAACGCTAACTTTCCGATTAAGAGCGTGGCGTTACATTAAGCCAAAATCCAAATTCCTTACTCAGCTAGAACTTTCACTGGCTTCAGAATCTGGCCCATTGTCTGAATAGAACTGAAGCAAACTCTTACAAGATGGCATGACTGTCTTCACCAGGGCAACTCACAAAACCCAAGGCTGAGATGTTGGAGTGCAGCCGATCCACACACAGGTTAAAGCTCACCTCTACATCTCCTTGATCTTCCTATAGCCTTTGTACAGTGATGGTCTTCCTGTGCCAAGTTAGAACAGCCTGAGGGTATTTTTTACTTTGGGGTTAAATTATTGTTTTATTCACAGTGAAGTTAGAGTGGGTTCGCAGCTAAAAGTGGTGAGTATTTGTGCAGGGAAAAGTGGTAGTTTCAAACAACTCAATTTTCTAGAGATTCAAAATATTTTCTTATATCCAGTACATTTCACTGCTTGATTTCAAGACTTACATTGTGAGTTTCTGTACTCAGGTGAATTGAAATAGAAAGTGACAATGAGATGCATATTTCAGAATTTACTCTATACAAAGGCATTATTGTGAGGTTTAGCAAGTGTTTCTGAACAAGGAAGAAAATGATTGCCAAGTTTAGGATACTAAATGACAGATAAAATATCTGCTTTCACTCTTTTTATACTGCAGTCTCCAAAATCAAGAACACTATAGATTCATACAGTACAATAAAAATTCACTCCTACATTTTGGTGACTGTGGCATTAAATAGCAACCCTGAGATTCTGTGAAAATAAACTTATTTTTCTGAATCACAGAGGCTGTATTTTCTCTTGACGGTAACAAGATTATTTTTCAGAGTAGTCTTTAGGTAGTTTTTAACAGTGTATCATCAGATGAAAAGCAAGTGTAGTTCTGTACTGTAATAATAAATGTGCAGTAACTGTTTAAATCTTTCCTGCCCAAGTTATTTAAATACACTGGGTATTTATATGTTCCAACCTTTGGAGTTAGCTTTAAAGCGATGTTAATGAGGAAAAATAATTATGCAAAAGGTTATACAAAAGCTCTTTATAAAATAAAATTAATAAATGGTGCTTTCAGCCTGTCCTCTCATAAACAAGCAATTCACTCCACAGAAAATGAAATGTTAACTTGTAGAAGCTTGGAAAGGTCTGCCTCAGTGCTGTTACTCTCGAGAGTGTCAATGCTTAATCTGTGGTGCCTGGACACTAAAGAAATAGGTGCATTACAAATTATATCAATTACGAGATATCTGAGATTAGATAAGAATAGTTATTTATGTTGGACCCACAGTATCCTAGGTGTATGACAGCTAGCTAGCTGGGTAGTAATGGTTTCTTCATTGCCATTATGGTCTACCATGTAATGGCATTCTAAAGGAGTTTTAAACCATTGACTATTGACATGACAGACTGTAAAGGGAGCACTGTATCAATGACTATTCAGAGAGTCGTTAATTCATGGATCACTGATAGGACACTCCATAACCACACTAAAGGAGCACTACTGGTCTGATGGACATGACAGACCATAATGTCTTTGAAGGAGCAGTTATGATCTATTGTGTTTAATGGATGCTATCAAAGTCCCTTCATCCACAAATTATTGACATGAGAGGTCATTGTTGTCTGCAGTGTCTATTCATGTCTCCATGGATTATTGACATGATGGCCCATAATTGGTTTCGCTGTTACTGTTGCATTCCATCATACTATTACAGCCCCCAATTTATGGATTATTGACAGGACAGAAGACAATGGCTTGGAGTTGCTATATGCTCAGTCATGACTTCGGGCAATTACAGAATATTTAATCCATGCAACATTGACACAATGGACCATAACTCCCCCTTTGGAGCTGGTATTGTATCTGTCTTGCCAATGTGTGCCATGAAGGATCCTTATCCATAAGAATTGTGAAAGGAACTTGGGCACTCTTAACCTACAATCAACGGGAGTTCGCGTATTCAAAATAGTCCAAGCACTGTATCATTTGTACACTACTTGGTGCATGTACTGTTAAAGTATGTACGACAAACATCCTTATGAAAAGGTATCTCCTATGAGCAAAGTAGCCACCTCACTACATCAGTCATTTTAACAAAGGCGCCTGCCCCATCATGGCTCTAATGGTATGTAAAAGTGAAATCATCCAGGGGTATAATTATCACAAATGAGGCTAGAAAAGAGGAAACCAGAGATAATGTTAAGAATAGTAAGAATGAGAACATTGAGAAAATTACCTCATATTCTTGTGAGAACTTCAAATTGTCATTAGCTTTCAATCTTTCAATGTGATCTGCAAGTTCCAAGATAGGTATTGGAGGATGGCTAGCCATACCTGTTGAAAGAGAGAGAAGGAAAACAGAATTTAAAATAAATCAAAGAGATTGCATCATTCTAAAATTTAGAGAATACAGTAGTTAGAATGGCTAGAAATATGCAAGTAGTAAAGATGTTGTATGTGAAAGAAGCAGGCAGATAGTTTGGTTACTCAAAGCAGGACATGCTCTGGAGAGATGAGCTTTGAAGCCAAATAAAAAAAAAAGTCACCAAGCATATTCCCAAAACTAACATTCCTAGTGTAAAAGAAAGTGTTATTGTGCCATGAGTCAATGAGGTTAGCTAGGCAAGGAAAAATGAGACAGTTAGACCTGATGTTGACTTCTGCTTTGAGTAATGACTCTTAATGTCATTTCAAACTCCTTCTCCTGCACTGTATGAAATGGAAACTGTGTTGAATTAGACGATGAAAGGTGAGCTGAGAAAATAGACACTGAAAGAGGCCTAAAGGGGAAAGAATAGTATTTTGACAGAAAACAAAGTGACTTATGCATAATCAAGGAAAACTAACTTGGAGAATGAAGGTTACCAGGGTAACCGAAGACACCTGAACCTGCAAAGGAAATGGTATAAAATAAAATAAAATAAAAAATCCCAAATAAATTAATAAAATAAAAATAAAAATGAAATGGATAGCTTGATAGTTAGAAAGGACTAATAACAATGTTTCAAGGACTGAAGGACTGACTATACATTCTGACTAAATCAGATCAGGAATACTTTAAGATAGCTTTAATATTTTATGAAGGTTAGAGATGACTGACATTCACATGCAACTATGTATGACTAGAGTAACATGCATCACTGCTTATAGACAACAGTCACTAAAGACAAGATTGGACATCAGACAACTAGAGCTTCAAAAATGTTTTCACTAGTAGCAGATTGTAGAGACAGGGGTTGTACAATTCAGCTGGAAACACGTATCTGGCTGCACTAGTACTTTAAAATGATCTTACCCCCAAGCCCCATTATCAACCCCCAAAAGTACCTACAATCTACTTCAGGTGTAAACATCTTTGTCTATTGATGAAGATATAGAACGAAAGAGAAAGTGAAAGAGAGATAGGAAAAAAAGATGGGGATAGGGAGGAGAAGAAGGGAGGAAGGAAGAGAGAGGGAGAGAAAAAAGGCAGAAAGAGATGTGGGGCCAACTAGCACAGCCTGCCAGCTGAAGATTTGCCAGCCCACTCCTTGTGGCCATTTTTCCCCAACCAATTAGTTTATTTGACCCGCCCCAAAATGGTTTGCATTTATTTCTTCGGGTTTACTTTTACCAGGCCTAGAACAATGTAGCATGTATAACCACTTGCAGGGAGAAACCACAGCTGGCTAGAAAATTTAAACTAGTGAACCCCAGGATCTGTTGAAATTACAAAAGAAAACAATGATGACTACAGGGGGCTCAAAGTGGAAGCTGTGTTGCACATTTCAGTTTGCTTTGTCACCGTGAATCTCAGGAGTGTTCTGTGGGACACCTAACTTGCATTTGCTACCGCACCACTCAATGACCATGGGATTATGATATGGTCACTTCATTAAATGATTTTGCGGTATTTCAGTCACCAATTAATAAACTTCAGTACATAGGAAGGACCAGCAGCACTGATCCTAATCATTTGAGCCTTGTACATTACACAGAAATGCTACACTCATTTAGTCAAATGCTACCTGCACAATGATTCCGCCACTGTGAGGTTTTATTATAGATAGTATGACATGCTGCCAGTCAATTGAACTAAGGGGAGTATCCAGGAATATTGGGGATATTTTTTGGAAGTTACAGGTACAAAATTAGTAGCCAAAACTCTATCTATATCCATTCTGGAGTCTCCCATTTTCTCAGTTGTCAAATTAAGGGCTATGTTACATTCATTTTTGAAAGGGTGGGTGACATTTTTCTAAAGATTAAACTGATTTGATCCAGATCAAGCACCCCAATGAAAAGTATGGGAGTGAAAAGGCACAAGAAAACTCTAGACTTATCCAGAAATGGAGGTGGGCTGATGTACATCTAAAACAGTGCTTGAACAAAGAAAATAATAGAGACAAAGATGTTTAGACCTTTTCGAGCGAATCGTGGGAGAGAGTTATTATCATATAAGGACTGAGTGGTAGTTTGGCTAGAGAGGGAGGACACAGAGCCAATCAGGGAAGCGTAGGGGACTGAATTACTGCTCAAAGCTGTAAAAAGTAAAGCCAATTGGAAATGGGAAACAAATTAGTAACAGTAGTAGAAGGCCATCATAATCAATCAATCAATCACACACACACACACACACACACGTACACTTCTGACATGCACAAAACCATTGTCTGGAAACCATACTCAGAAGAAAATATCCAGAGGTCCAATCTCTCTACTGTTAACAAGAAGGTGGGTTGTCTTTGTTAATTAGTGAACCTATCCTTTTCAACAACACCATGAACTTGGATCTCAATACTTAGCTCAGTGTGAAGGGTATTTAGTCATTTTAAAGAGTCAGAAATTGTGGATACATTATTAGGCTATTTGATTAATCAAATCATAGTTAGTCCTTTTTTAACTGGTCTTATTTATAACCATCATTACAGAGGTACCCATTAGCACTTCTAAAGTTGAGCATCTACTACCATTTAAATTTCTCATTATACGTTTCTAAAGGGTGATTTTGTAGTAAACATTTGGTGCAGAGTGAAACTTGGCATAAAACTTTTCTAAGCAGGAAACTTACAGATAACTTTTAAAATTAATTGGCTGGCTCTTACTTGAACATAAACCCCTTCTGCCAGGACTCATTTTATGATCCTATAATTGAACAATACTTAACATTCTTTAACTGATATTTTACAGTCAGCTTATAAAGTGAAGTAATAGCATTTGGTAGGGCTATTATTTTTAAAGACACAACAGATGCAATACTGAGGTGACAAATAATTACTTTTTCATTTTTGAAAGTCTTTTGCTATGTACTCATTCTATGCATCCATATTATATAGATATGTACTCTTGTTAATATGCATCCACAGTTCTTAAAGAGATTTTATGGTATACGCTATGGGTTCATATTAAGGCCACATTCTGTCCCTGGTGCATGTAGGAGGCTCCTATTGACATCAACATGGGTTGTGTGCACCTAGGGCAGAACTTGACTTTCAGAACACTACACAAAATGCAGCTGATCAGACTTATTTTTATGGCTCTACAATACAGAATGCATACTTTTGCTAATACACATTAATATCATTCCATATATGCTATGAACATGTATTAAAAATAATAAAACAAAATGCAACTACATCTGAACAGGCCCTCTGACATGCTTAGTAGGTCTAAAAGAATAACATGCCAATGACATGCTTTTCTTTTCTTTTTTATTCAAATGACAAAAAAGATAAATTAAAGCACACAAAAATGTTAACCTGACTCATATCAATGAAGACAACATCATGCAAAGTTACACCTGAATTTCCATACATAACCAGCCCTTGTGCCTATGTACTGCGGAGGATTGCAAAAAGTGAGTGATTTTATACTGCATAATAGTGTCCCCCCAAAAAGAATTAAACAAGAGCTTGTGGTTCCAATAACATGTGGAAATATCTTCTGCTTGTCTTGTGGTAAATGTACCACTAATTCAGAGGAACATGGTATACTATATGGGCTACAATACTTAGGCACAATAGGGAGAGTAAGGGCAAAATTCATCACAATGCAGAGTGCAGGTGAAAGGACCTCTACATCAATCACTTAATCCACACTTACATCCTATGGGTGAAAGCCTGATCCCACTGAAGTCAATGGAGATTTTGATCTTGACTTCAGTAGGGCCAGGATTTCACCCTTAATGCGGAATGTAACCAGGTACCTGGCCTTATGTAGGCTCTCTGCATTGGGGTGAATTTTACTATAAATGAATAAGAAATACAAAAGGAGCCTTTCAATTGCTATTTTGTTGCTTTTATGCATTTATGAGACAGAAGAGCAAGGTGTTTTTGTGGTCTTAATATCATTAGGGAGCACACATTTGGTTTGAAACTTGCTCAAGATGTGAATGCAGCTCCACGTTTACAAGCCCCTCATGAATGAACAAGAAATTAGAGATTACATAGAACACTGAGCTGTGATAACACACAATAATTGCTTTTAAAAAACAAACATATTGGAAATCTAACATAATTTTTACACAAAAACCTTTATTAAATTAATTATATTACAGGTCCACATCAAACTAATAATCTGTGATCATTAAAGACTCATTTATTGCAATATGTATTTGATATAATACCAGAGAAAAACAAACAAAAAAATTTATGATGAGATGTTTCTATCAACAGAAGAACCAATAAAAGTGGCACTTTTTTCTGTCAAAAACTTGTAAAAACACAAATGCAAAACTTATGTACAGCATGTGCAACAGATTAAAGGCCCAACAATACTGGTCTTCCAAGACAAATGGGAATTTGTCTTCCATCAGAACTCCAGGAGGGTATGCTTAGTATAGTGGATACTGGAATTACTTGTATTCTTTGTTAACAGTCACTACAGTAAAAATAAACTTGAGGGAGTAGGTTCAGTGTTTGTCTACATGGAGAAAAAAAACAGAATAGCTATTTCAAAGCATTCCAACAGTTATTCCACAACAGCTCCTTGTGTGGACACTCTATTCTGGAATAAAATAAACTCCATTCCAGAATAATTAGTGTACTCCCAAAACGGAGCAATGATTCTGGAATTAAAGTGACTTTTATTCTGGAAAAGGGTGTCCAAATGAGAGCTGTTCTGGTCAATTTCTCCAAGTAGACAAGCCTGTATTCTCCCTTCAGTGTTGACATAACTCTCCTGAATATGAATAGGAATTGCATGTATACAATGAGAGGATAGCCCTGCTAACTTGCAAGTCAGATGTATAAATCCAAACATCAACTTTTCCCCTTGTGTTTAATTTGCTATTTTCCAGTTGACCTGTTTTATTTTGTTTTTCTTCATCTTGGAAACAGACTGGTGCAGCTTCCTTAAATAACTCTCCACACAAGTATATGGTGAAGAATTACTTATGTAAATGAGTAAATCTTTGAATTCAAAGCTGTAATAATTTTCTTTATTTTCCTTGAATTTCAAGCATCTTTTTATTTAACTAATGTGCTATAATGAGATAATTGTTTAATTGGTGTCCAATTACACAAATTATTTACGAGTGTGACACATTTTGTACTTAAATGAAAAACAAAAAGTGACTTGTCAGGAATAAATCAATCCTGTTCCTCAGCTGACAAGCAGATTGGAGTCTTTTTCTGAGCCTTGGATCTCAGAAAATTTCAAACTATTTCAAATCAGTCACTTTACTCTGTGTAAGTCAGAGCTTCTCCTTCCTGTAGATTTCATTCGATGAAGACATATTGTTCCTACCCTGACCCCCCACCACTCTTTGTCCACGTGGCTTAGTGACTTATAAAATTTGCTTTCAAGGTTAATGATTTTAATACCATATTTTCTAGTAAACTTGCGGTAGAATAGCAAGACTGGCTCTCCTTCACCCCTGCCCCTCTACCTTTAGAAAACGATAGACTTACAAAATGAAATCCCTTATGCTGTTGGGAGATTGGGCATTTTCATATTGATTCAAAGAAAACTTGGCGCAGATGTGACCCACTTGCTGGCATATGGGCCTATCTAACAAATGTACATTTGTATGGAAAGCACATATGGAGACAGGATCTTCTTCTCAGATGTAGAACTGTGGGCTATTCCCTTATGTTAAGACACAGTGCCAAATTTATCCATGGTGTAACTGCTTGTTGCAATGGAGTGAAGCCAGAGATGAATATGATCCTCTGTGTTCAGAATAAAATGAGAATTATCCTAATAACACTATTCTTTACTGGTAAAACATGAAGAAAAGTGATAGGAAACTGAAAGCTTTATTGTTCTGGCAATTCTGAATTTAGATTCATATGGTGACTTCATATTGTGTTAGTATTTTCATCACCAGTTCAACTTGATCATTAATAAAATAAGAAAGCCCTGACGCTGAACTAGAAGATAAATACTAGCCACAATCCACATAGTTGCTTTCAAATGGTTATATTAAACCAGATATATTAAAGGTGCTTTTACTCATATGGTATGCAATTCAAATGCATTTTAATCCAATAGGGCGAAACCTTGACATTCACATCCCACTTGACCGCCCCCCCCAGACAAAATAAATTTGTGGTTTAAGATTTAAAACTTCCCCCCCCCCCAAAATTGTGTCTTGGGCATCTGACAGTGGTTGTTTTTGAGTCTTTCAAATAGTCAAAGCATTTGTCACCCATTACTCTTTATCAAGGTTTGTTATTATTATGAATACAGGGGATTCCAGTCCACACTCCATTATCATCTCCCAATGGAAGCACATCTACTAAATTTCTATTTTGACAGGCATATGTTTGCCCCTTCAATACGGGGCGGGGGGGGGGGAAGGGGAAGGGGAGAGGAAAGGGGGTTTAATGATGCTCTGCCTCACATTGCCTAATTTATTTTTGATCTCTGCCCCCATTAGTAACCATATTAAACAAGAGATTAGTGAGCTAAACATTTCAATTTAAGTTCAAATTGTCTCCTGAATTGCTCCACAGTATCAGTTCATTAGGAAACAAAATGACTATTTTTGATGGTACTCTTTCAATGGCAGAGATTTTGTATTCATCTGTGTCTGGAAAGCACCCAACACTCTGTGGGTGCTCCAACAATCTAAATAAATAAAATAAACAAATAAATATCCTCTTCACATCCTCTACCTCCCTAGAGTCTTATTGTCCTGGAGCATACTGACTGCTAGAACACGTTCAACACTGCGTCACTTAATAGAATTGTTGGTAACTCTGTTCAGACGGGATAAAATTGTATAGTGTAGACAAGACCTTTGTATGTGGGCGATTGTAAATGCTTCAATAAAATATACACAACACAATCCTCTGCCCCACATCCTACTGCCCATTTTTTTTAAAGGGAAAAATGTGGAAGGAAAAAAAATATGGTTGCCATGAACATAAGGCCTCTTTTTATTTCATCTTGCTGGCTTTGTGTTTGAGTAGAATTTAAAAATGTGTTGTTAATAGGTTGCTAGCCCATGCCACAATGTCTACACTACTATTATTATCTATGCTAGCTAGATTAAAGCTAGTACACGTATGCCTACCTATGCTATAATTGCACCTTCACTTGCTGAATACACATAGTCTTATGGTGAAATCATAGCTCCATTAAAGTCAATGGGAATTAAACAAGAGTGTATGCTTCCACATGGGAATAGTGACACTGACTTCAGCAGGGCCAGGATCTCATCCTTAGAATGTGTTAGTAACACCTTCTAACATGCTTTTAAATCCGGGACAAGACAAACCACCTAGGGCAGAAACTGTCTCTTTTGTTACTTGTTTGTATGGTGCTTAACACAATGGGCTCCTGATCCTTGATTGGTGGTCCATGGTGCTACCACGATAGAAATAATAATAATTTCATTTGCAAGCCACAAGTGCCTGAAAATCAGACTTTGTTTTACAAAAAAGGTTTGTTGCCAAGGGACAGGTCTAATAGTATCAATGAATTGCGGCTTCACAGCCAAGTTCACTGAAAACTGTCTATCTCACATCAACAGCTGTTGCAAAGAAAGGTCCAAATTCACTCATCTCCAGTTCTTTCCAGAGCAATGAGGTAAAACTATAGTGTCTGCAAAAGCTAATGTACAGCATTAAATTCTAATGTTATTAAGCATGAGCAGCATCTTCCCCTACTTTATTTTAAAATATGACAAAAAATAAACATAAATGCAAGATTAAGATTACAAATTTAAACACACAAAAGTAAAAAAAAGAAAACTGTATGAAGTAATATTAAATCATCCACACTGCCCATTATGACTGTGGGAGCGATGAATTTGGAAATCTGTTTTAGAACATATATGATGGGAGTTAATCTGTAAGAACCATAACTTTTTCTTTTTCTGATTTTTTGTGCATTTGTATACAAAATCTCGCCTTTGCATTAACTGTTTTTTGAATGTAGTAAAGATGATGGATAAATCACAGAGCGTTAATAAGTCAGAACTAAGTGCTGAGACTTCAGTTAACTCTTTTGAGATAAATTGTGTGTGTGTATTGTGTGGTTTGGTAAATCTCTGAGAATCTCTATTTAATTTCCTGATTTTATGCATTTAAATGCATAAAAGTGCCTTTAAAAAGTGGCTACATAGTTCCTCCCCTTTCACAGTTACCAGAGAGGACCAAGATGTGTTGTAGCAGGGAGCTTAATAAACAGAGGATCTTCTTGGTCAGGGAGTTCACTAGTAGATGCTGAAGGCATGACTGTGTTCATGTCTCACACTACAGAATTTATAGTACTATCACTGATTTTTGTACATTGTTAATGGTAAATCAGGAAGATTTTAAAAGCAATCAATCAGAATTAAGCTTGGGACTTCATTTAAATCATACTGTGATTAAAAAAAGTCTACTGAATCACATCACCATCAAAATTAAGAAAATTCCAAAGATAAAATATCAACCCATCTATACAAGGGTGATAAAAATCCCAGTGCCACTCACATTATTTTCTTCTTATCCTGTCCTTGGCTGTCAAAGTTACTCCCATTAAGAAAACAAGATTAAACATACTAAAAAGAGGAAAGTGGATATAAAGCAGGTTTAAAGATATTCTGCAACATGTCATTCCTATACCTCAGGAATAGTTAGATATTAATATACCCTTTTGACCTCACACACTGCTCCTGTTTTAGAAGACAAGAGTATTTTTTCCAGCTAACCTTGCCTTTTTATTTTGCACATCCGCAAGGTGCATGGCCCAGACACTTAAAGAGACTGCAGTGTTGTGCACAGTGAATATGAGAAGTATGCATGATTCCTATAAGCAGTACCCTTCACCATTAAAGGGTTCTCACAGTTTTAGTAAACCAGTCCCTGAAAGGGACACTGTCAACTGGAAATCTAGTCAATTTAAAAAAAAAAGAGTTAAAAATAGTTTCAGAGAAAACACCTGCTCCAGAGACTTGTGGCCAATTTTTGTTCTCTTGCAGTTATATTTTCCTATGTTAAAAATTGTTTTCCTCTTTTCTGTTGCCATGTGAAATACACACATACAAAACCAAGGGAAACTGACTACCTGACTCTGCAGTGGAAAGAGGGAATATTTGTACACAAAGTATTGTCAAATGCACACAATTAATAAATAGGGGGGAAAAAATTTCCCAGCCCCCTATCTTTTTTAGTATTCTTCATTGTTACTCGTTTCTATGAAAAAAATGTGCTTAAGTTTTTAGAGTCTCCATTAATTAGTTCAATATGGGATTTTTTTTACACTGCAGAAGTTAGAAGAAATTATTCCCAAAACTATTAGTAAGAAAAACACTGCAAAATCTCATCATTAATCAGTATAAAGAATTTGTTAAAACTAAAGAATTCAACATTTAACAACTTAGTTCTCTAGCAGCAATGCCGTTTAAAGAAATATTGTTGAAAACCGTGAATGGTCACAGCGCTGTAAATGGGGGAGTTCTGTGTCTTACCTGGAGTTTGAAAATTAAGGCGTCGCAGCTCCACTGGATCTGTGGGATGATGAGAAGGAATTTCCTTGCTGTTGGGTATGCTGCTTTTTCTAGAGTCAGATTCAGCCCTCTTCCTGAAAGGATAAAGTAAACACAAACACACATAAGATCCTCAGTGTTAACTACACAAATACACTTGTCTGCCCTATTTGATCATTCGATACTGCTTCTTTTTAAAAGTATTCACTACCCAAAGCAGAAGATAAAACAATTGTGTGCAACATGGTGGTTAAGGCAGCTACAATTTACATGGTTAAAGGAAATTTAAACATGAAAACATTGGGTTGGAGTAATTGCCTTCAGCAGTAGCCTGATCCTCCAGTTCATCATTCAAGGGACTAGAATAATTAACAGCTACGGGCTATAAATGGGAAACTTCAAGAAATCCACTTTGTCTCTGTCTTAAAAGCTAGCTACCTACCAGCTTTATTAAATATATTTGTTTAAATCTTCATTATGTAATTGTGAATAACATATGAAGATGCTATATTTGCTCTCATCATGTTTTAATATACACAGCTCTGTACTGTTTTATTTATGAATAGCTTTTATTCATTATGACCGGTTTCAGAGTAGCAGCCGTGTTAGTCTGTATCCGCAAAAAGAACAGGAGTACTTGTGGCACCTTAGAGACTAACAAATTTATTAGAGCATAAGCTTTTGTGGGCTACAACCCACTTCTTCGGATGCATATCTAATAAATTTGTTAGTCTCTAAGGTGCCACAAGTACTCCTGTTCTTTTATTCATTAGGCACTTTCAAGGTTGCCGATAATATATCTGAACACTGTTGCTTTCACTTTCTAGGGAGTAAGAGCTCAATTCTCAATATTTCAGTTCTGTAATAGGGTGAGTCACAAAACACCCATGGCCCCAATCCTTTCCATGGTCACAGAGCCCCTATTCAATTTAAATGCTTCTGATCAAATTAGGGGCAGGGTTTTCAAAAAGTGCCTAAGGGAGTTAGGTACCTAACTGCCATTGACTTTCAATGGAATTTTGATGCTCTTGAAAAACCCTCCGTAAATGCAATGGGCAGAAGAGACAGAAAAAGGCCCATAGGTCCCATTTGCCTCAGAAACGAGGCATCTTTGTGCTTTTTAGCTCTTATGGGTCTCCTGTCAGAATGGGCTCCTACTGTCTGAGAGTTCCATTCTGTGAGGTCAGCCAAGGAGAACTGTATTGGCTTTCAGAATACCTACTGATTTGCATTTTCATTCAATTTGGGTTTTTTTAGAAGAAGAAGTGAGGATGAAGGTGGCAAAAAGCCAAATTTCAAGAAAGGGAGGAGAGGTGGGTGTAAGAGTTATTACAGCTACACCTATCTCAAGTGTCCTGCATTTTATTTGACATCACACTCTTGGGCCATTTTCCTGATTAGGTTTTCCTGTGATGGTGCTAAAACCTGCTCTGCTACCTCTTAAAACAGTTTAAATTCACTTCTTCTCTGTCCAGGTATTACAGGCAGAGCAGTGAGTGGTAACACTGATTAGGACATGATGTGATGGGAAAGAGAAGAGTGATGGGGTAGGAGGGAATCTTATCAATTTTAGCTATGGACTATGGTTAGCTCTATTTTAGATGACAGTGGGCAATTTCTTTTGCTTGTCTTTAATATTGAAGATATACAACTCGTTCAGCAAGACAAAATTTCCCCTCTGGTTGCCTTAATGTGCTGTGCAAATTGTATCTTAATCCCACAAGCTCTTGAAGTATGGAACCTCTGTTAACTTCAGTGGAAGTTCGCTATGCAGAAGACTTCCAAGATCAGATTGTGAAAATCAAATAATTCCAGAGTTTTAATGCAAGACTCTCGAATTTATACTCCAGATAAACCCTTAGTATGGCTGCTTCTCCCTTCAGTGGGCTACAAGAAACTGGTTTTTTAAATTGTTTTGAAAAGGATGAAGAAGCGATTCCTTCAGTCTACCCCTCATTCTTCTATGTCACTCCCCTCAGCCACAAAGGCAACAGGTATGGCAATCCTGGGGAGTCTTTGTTCACTCTGGACCCACAGCTTTGTTGATAACAAAGAGTCACTTGAAAGGAATGTGAGTCAGTGCTTTCTCTAGGGGTTGAATGTATTATCCCCAAATTAATCCTAGCCCCTGCCAACCCACAGAGCCTGGAATTCCCTGCATGACCATATACTGCTCTGCCACTGGAAAGTTGTGCCAGCTTCAAGGTGATTTATCCCAAACCTTGTAATCTGGTATCTGCGTCCTAAATGGTTTATTTTGCCACTTATTGGTCCTTCTGCTGGTCAAGCTGGCTCGGTATCAAAATGCTCTCTATGTACTACAAGCCCCACAAAATTGATTAAGCCCCAGTTAACCTCCCACAGACCTAAAGAAAGGTAAAACTTGTAGGGAAACAGTTCCTGTGAATAGACTTCTAGGACTGTGCAGGAATCAGTCTTCTTAAATTGTTGTCAGGTTCAACCAAACAGACTACAGATCAGTGTCACATACAGGGCTGCTGAGAACAGGTTCGTGCCCCGGTGAAAAAAATTTTTCGGGCCCCCCCGGAAAGGGCGGACCGGCTAAACAGGGCCGATGAGAGGGGGGAAGCTGGGCCCGGAATTTTTTCGGGCCCCCCAGCAAGGGCAGACCGGCTAAACAGGGCCGACGAGGGGGGGGGGAAGCCAGGCCCTGGGCCCCCTTCCGGACGACCGCTGGGCCCTGGTAAATTTGTACCGGCTTCCCCCCTCAGCCCCCCCCCCCATCGGCCCTGGTCAGAGATAAAATTATAAAGTCAGATTCTGCCATCCTTAATCATACTGGGAAAAAAGCTGGTGCAAGTGAAGTCCATGGACATTTTGCCAGGATGTCATCCATTAGTAGTACCTCACTCAGTGAGTAGCCCCAATGAAATCACTTTAAACTTTATGAAATAAAAAACTGCACAGGGACCCACGCTACTGCACATTTTGCTTCATGAAATCAATGGGTCTATTTACAAGTTGGCACTAGTCAGCATAGTTCAGAGGCCATGGTGATGTGTGCCATTCTAAAATCCTGAATAGATGGACAATAAGCATGGGTATCAAAATTGAGGCCCTAAGAATTAATGTAAAAGGTCCCAAACTCAACAAGTTCTACACCTTTCATTTATTTAATAAAGTATTTGGTGACCATCAGTGAATCATTTAGGTGCCATCCAAAATTTAAAACAACTAGTGCTATGCAAGGCCTTCAGTGGGCAGACACAGAACATTCTACCCTATAACCACCCCACTATGTGCTTCCAGAAGAGCTCCATGACTGCCAGGCCCTCACTTCTAGTATTTGTAGACATGCAGTTTCATTAAAAAAAAAAAAAGATACTTTCATTGAAAAAGGGGGTAAAACAGATTTTCATGAAAATTCAGTTAAGTAAATGTCACTGGGCTAAATTTCCTAGAGGACCTCAATCCAGCTTCAAAAGGCTTTTTTTAATTTATTTTTTTAACATACAAAACCTTTATCTGCAAGAGCAAATGAAAATCGAGTGTATAAAATGGGTAGCAAGACATTTAGTTACTTGATTTGAATCTACAAATTTGGGCGGTTGAACCGTTAATTCATTACATATACAAAATTGTGGATAAATATTTATCCAAATTTAGTACCAAACCCATTAATGTTTTTACATTGATATGTGTGTTCCCTTTTCTTTCAATTCTTAAGAAGAATGTTTATTTATATCTGGTACTCTTAAAAAGTGAAGGACTAGGAGAACTGCCTAGAGGCAGACATCATTTGCATTTTTCCACATATAGCTCTGCTAGTGCATATCAGCTTTGACCTGCACAACCCCCGTTTCTATATTAAAAAGCACTATAGTATCCTACAATAGCTTCAAATGTTAGAGTAAACATAAATAGCCTCAAATGCTACAGTAACGCTAAAACTGCAGCGTTTGGGGCACTTACTGTAGAACAATGTACTTTTGTTTGTTTTAATTAGAGTTATTCTAATTCTGTCTCTCTCTAGACCCGAGAATGCTATAGTAATTGTATCAGATTGTGTGGGTTCAAAAGGATTTATGATGTGAAGGACTACCCTCTAAGGACTAGGATGAGATCATCAATTTATTTTTACTTGTGACCTACTGTAAGTCAGGATTGCATCCAGGCTGTTAAAAGTGCATTAACCCATTACAGTACATAATTTCCCAATTCTTCTGAAGCTCCGTTTTGAGACATGAACACCATTTTAAACTTGACCAAAGAACTCTCATAAATTGATTTGTACTGTCACCTGAAATTGTAACTGAGGAAAATATAAGATATGGAAAAAAAAACTTTTTTTAGTTAAAAGATGAAACACTGCTATAAATGCCTCATGCCTTTTTAGTGTTGTAAACGCTATAAAATATCTAGAGCACTATCAGATTGTCTTTATATTTTATATGTATCTGTCCAAGATCATTTAGACTGACAAAAATTCTGTTTTAAATCATCATCATGATAAACTGTCTGTACTTTTTTCCTCTTTTTTTTCTTTTTTGGTGTAAATGGAGGGCAATTGTTCTTCACTTCTCACCTGTCAGGTTTACTGCTCCATTTTAATGCGGCAAAGAGGGGAAAAAAGGTTAAATGTTAGTTGGCCAATGGCAAGAAGAGTAACCATGACAACAGGAGATTCAAGAAATGGTGTTTTACAATGAGGACACAGAACTTACATAAATTACAGAATGACAGCTCATCAAAACATTTAATGCCTTCTAATCATGGAATAAATGGAGGACACAAGGTTAAGTTCAAAGAGTCTTTTGCTGCTGAAGAAAATATTTTTGTATTAATATCACATTCCCTTTTGGTCATCACCTACAAAATAATGCCACAATCAATTACATTCCAGGAGGTTGCAGATGCTGGATATATTTCTGAATTTTACTTACAAGCTGGAGAAAAGACTTTCATCTAACCTAGGTACAGGGAAGTTTAGTGTAACACATTTTTTTCATTAAAAAAAGGCTAAATGGATGAGATATTCCTATAGAGTAACTAAGACTTGCACTAAATTACAAAAGATTTTTATCCGGTTTTACGCAACTAGGTAATAAAATGTCAGAAATTATTTTTAAAAGGT